AAACTGTGAGTATTCTGTTTTGTTAATTATAGATTGAAATGAACATGACAACATGTTCCTTTTTCTTTAGCTGTGGGATTAAAGTCAGAATGTAATAAATATCCGAGTGAGTGCTCACCATTGTGACCCTGCTCATTCTGCTTGCCCATAATGTTTCCTTGGTGACACGCTTTAATCTCTCCACAGAGAGCTGGATCCTGAGCTGACCTCTGACCCCAATGAAAGAAAGGTCACCGGGGTCACACACTCCTCTAGTCCATTTTCTATGCGACCATTTTCCTTTTAAAGGCTGTTTGTCAAATCAGTTTTCATGGCAACACAAGACTGACGTCAATACATTCAACTGTGATCAAGTTCTCCTGATACAAGTACTGCAAAGCAGATGAAATATAACGTGAGAAATAACAACATCAAATACTGCATCAAACACTTCATTATCCTTTAAATATTGGCAGGGGTGGGACAGCGAGCGCCTGCCGTCTCTTCAAACAAGTCAAACACACTTTCTGAAGGGGAGGCGTACAGACCATTAAGCAAAAACAATACCTGCAAACCAATATATGCCAATAAAACCACTAAAGGACATTTATAGCTGATAATCAAACCAGACCTGTGCCATACATGTCCGCAACAGCTCCACTGTGCTTTTGAGAACATGTCGATGTTTATACCCTCTCTGTAATCACTATATATCTGATATTTAAAGAAAAACTATGTCAGAAGCTGTGATGGACAAAAAAATAAATTAAAAAAATATCTGAAAATGTCTGAAGTGTATTCAGTTAAATGTATTTTACTCGTGGGGATAGTTAGCGGAAAATAAACCCCGGAGCTCTCTCACTAAATTTAGTTTCAGCTCCTCATATCATACCTGGGATTTTTAGATTGATTTGAATATTAATCCCAATGACAGGTCAGCTTGTAAAAAGATGAAGTGTTTCTGCTTCTGTGCAAACCACAACACAAACTGAGACACAATTCACCACAAATGCCCTTTCTGACAATACAAAAAAACAATACACAAAAAAATCGCCTTCGTAGAATTGAGTGTCACTGAAGCTCAGTTCTGGTTTCCTTGTACAAAAAACTGAAATAATGATTTATTGAACAGTTCAGAGAATTGGAGACAAAAGAAGGTGCGATGTAACAAATGATGAATCTTCCAGCCTGAGACGCTTCGAGGAAACAAGTTTCCTTCCTAGAGAATAAAAGGAAACTGAAGTGCGACGTGTAAAAGATTAAAGATGCAGCAAAATGCTACAATTTATCTGTGAGCAGTTTGTTTTGTTGGACCATCTTAAAAACACAAACTGAAGGATATTGACCTAAACGAA